TTTGTTTTGAGATGGAGTCTCGCTGTGTTGCCCAGCCTGGAGTGCAGTAGCTATTCACAGGCATGACCATCACACACTAGAGCCTTAAACTCCTGGCCTCAAGCAATCCTCCTGCCTCAGCCTCCCAAATGGCTGAGACTGCAGGTGTGTGCCACTGCACTCTGCTTGAGCAGTTTTTTCTAACTCTATTCCTTGCCCTGCTTGGTACACACACACTTCTTTGGGAACCACTGTGGGAGAATCCATTGTTGCTGACAGGAATGTGTTGGGGTAGTTAAAAAAAAAAAAGGTTATAAACCACTCTCCTGAAAACTCATGTTGTCAATTGTTTTACAGGTTGTAGCTGCACACAAACATCATAATTCTTAGAAGAAGTATCTCTGCAAACAATATTCCTTTCTTAAAGGCAATTCTATAATTAAGGCAAAGAGGTTACCAGCATCAGTAGTGATCTATATAACAATGGCTGACATTTGTTGAGTGCTTACTGTTTCAAGTACTGTTCTTGCAGCTAAAATGCAATTATTTAATCTTCATAACAACTCCATGAGGTAGATAACAATGTTATCCCATTTTAGTTGAGGAAACAGGCACAGAGAAGTTAAGGATTTTGTGCAAGATCACACAGCTAGTAAATGATAGAGCCAACATTTCAAGCGGGGCTGATTCTGAAACTGTAGTCTTAATTCTATGCTATACTGCAGCTACACTCACCCAGGGAAAGTGCTTGCTTGTAACCAACACAGGAAAAGCAGATTCCATTCCAACCACTGACTCAGATTTATCAAGCGTACAGATAAGAGAAAGCAGCAGGTTGATTGCAAAGCTTACTCCCACTCTGAAAGGCTATGAAAATGAAAATTGAGGGTTGTATTAATAGAAGTAATGGTTTATACCATTACTTTTAATGGCAAAAAAACCACAATTACTTTTGCACCAACCTAATAGAAAAAGGTTAATTTTCTAAGCATATGAAGATTCCCAAAATCAACTATGCAAAAAATTTATTTTTATATTCATATTTCTTTTTTTTTTTTTTTTGAGATGGAGTCTCACTCTGTCACCCAGGCTAGAGTACAGTGGCACGATCTCAGCTCACTGCAAGATATTTCTACCAAGATGGAAAACCTAAAATTAAAATGAGACCTCACCAAAACCTTTTCTTAATATAAAATCTTGGCTGGGTATGGTGGCTCATGTCTGTAATCCCAGCACTTTAGAAGGCCAAGGCGGGAAAATCGCTTGAGAACTCAGGAGTTCACCTCCAGCCTGGGCAACACAGGGAAACCCCATCTGTACAAAAAAATGAAAAATTAGCTGGGTGTAGTAGTGTGCAACTGTGGTCCCAGCTACTTGGGAGGCTGAGGTGGGAGGATTGCTTGAGCCTGGGAAGTTGAGGCTGCAGTGAGCTATGATTATGCCAATGCACCCCAACCTTGGAGACAGAGACCCTGTCATAAGAAATATAACATAAAAATGTAAAAATAAAATCTGAAAATCATGTTGACTGATTAGAAAAACATAACAGGCAAGTTATTGAGGCCTTACTACCATTATTCACAAAAACTCACAGTGCTACAAGTAATCTAATCATGTTCACAATTAACTTTTTCTTATAAAATTTTTATTGAGAATAGTTAGGAGTGTTTTATTTCATAACTGAAAACATATTTTTAAAGTAATACTTCTATTAAAAGTGCTTCTAACAATGACTAAAATGAAATAGTAACTAACAGTTGCACTTAACAATGTGCTAGATACTGTGCTAAATTTATATAGTTAGTCCTCAATCCTCAAAAAAAACTGAAGAGGTAAGTATTATTATTATTTGAAACAGGGTCTTGCTCTGTTGCCCAGGATGGAATACAGTGGCATGATCATGGCTCACTGCAGCCTTGACCTCCTGGGCTTAAGCAATCCTCCCTCCTCAGCCTTCTGAGTGGCTAGAATTACAGGTGCACACCACCACGTCTACTAATTTTGTTTTTATTTTCTGTAGAGATGAAGTCTCACTATGTTGCTCAGGCTGGTCTCAAACTCCTGGGCTCAAGCAATCCTCCTGCCTTGGCCTCCCAAAGTGCTGGGATTATAGGCATGAGTCACCATGCCCGGCCAAGTATTGTTATAATGTTATTATTATTATTACCTACTTTGCATATGAAGAAATTGAGGTATGGAGAGGTGAAGTAACTTGCTTAAAATCATACAAATAAATGGTGGAGCTAGGATTCAAATCCAGTTATCCTAGCTGTACTGCCACTAAGTGAGAGTATTAAAATGCAGAGAAAATACTTTCCCTGTAAGACATATTTTGCTGAACAAAACCTAACGATGGCAGAAATGGAATGACTTAAAGATGGAAAATAGGAACTTACATGCAAACATTTTTCAGTATTTTGTTATACTATTCAAACGTTCAATACAAAATAGATTAAAATTTAAAATATATTTGTACTTTAATTTTCCTTATAGCCAAATCAGTAATATTTTATTCTTTTTTTTTTTTTTTTTTTTTTTTTTTTTTGAGACGGAGTCTCGCTCTGTCACCCAGGCTGGAGTGCAGTGGCCAGATCTCAGCTCACTGCAAGCTCCGCCTCCCGGGTTCACGCCATTCTCCTGCCTCAGCCTCCTGAGTAGCTGGGACTACAGGCACCTGCCACCTCGCCCGGCTAAGTTTTTGTATTTTTAGTAGAGACGGGGTTTCACTGTGTTAGCCAGGATGGTCTCGATCTCCTGACCTCGTGATCCGCCCGTCTCGGCCTCCCAAAGTGCTGGGATTACAGGCTTGAGCCACCGCGCCCGGCCAATATTTTATTCTTTAAATATTTTTTTAAAAAACAAGGGCTGGGCCCAGCGTGATGGCTTATGCCTGTAATTCTAGCACTTTGGGAGGCTGAGGCGGGTGGATTACCTGAGGTCAGGGGTTCTAGACCACCCTGACCAATATGGTGAAACCCTGTCTCTACTAAATACAAAAAATTAGCTGGGCATGGTGGCGCATGCCTGTATAAATCACAGCTACTGGGGAGGCTGAGGCAGAAGAGTCACTTGAACCCAGGAGGTGGCGGTGAGCCAAGATTGCGCCATTGCATTTCAGCCTGGGCAACAAGAGTGTAACTCCGTCTCAAAAAAATACAAACAAGGGCTTACTAAACACTTAAATTTTCTCCTTTTCATTGCAGAGCACAAAACATTCGTTACTCCAAACTACCCTGTGGCAATAACTTAATATTTATTTATTTATTTATTTGGAGACAGGGTCTTGCCATGTTGCCCAGGTTGGAGTGTGGTGGCTATTTACAGGTATGATCATGGTATACTGCAGTCTCAAACTTCCAGGCTCAAGGAATCCTCCCGCCTCATCCTTCCAAGTAGCTGAGACTACAGGTATGCACCACCGTGCCTGGCTCCATGGCAATAACTTAAAAAGCAGCAAAGTGCTTTTTCTTACAGTTACTTTCATATTTCTTTTTTTTTGAGACAGAGTTTCGCTCGCTGCCCAGGCTGGACTGCAGTGGTACGATCTTGGCTCACTGCAATCTCTGCCTCCTGGGTTCAAGAGATTCTACTGCTTCAGCCTCCCGAGTAGCTGGGATTACAGGCACTTGCCACCACGCCCGGCCAATTTTTATTAGAGACAGGGTTTCACCATGTTGGCTAGGCTGGTCTCGAATGCCTGACCTCAGGTGATCCGCCCGCCCTGGCCTCCCAAAGTGCCTGGATTACAGCGTGAGCCATCGTGTCCGGCCATGTCCAAGCATTTCTATACTGAAATACAACTGAATTATAAGTTCTTTTTAGTTCTGTCATATAACAATTATATACATTTAAATGATATGTGTAGGAAATATATTTATGAATTTCACTGCATGACAGTAAAGGGGGACACAGTACTTTTATAAAAAAGGAAGCAATGGGACTGATAGTTAAGATTTACTGATAGCGGTCAGCTGTAATAACAATTTGCATAGACGGAAAATTAAATAGCGACAGATAACTAATGTTTGTTTCTAATGCAAGAGTAAAATAAAATCAGCATCATTTAATCAAATGGAAAGAAAAACCTGTTCGATGCTTAACTTTTGTGTTGGAACCCAAAATTGTCCCAGCATTCCTTCTGATGAGTATGTATTAAACTTTCGGACGGCTGTGCAGATGAGCTATGATCATGGCAGGCTGGGCAGCATCAACGCTGCTTTGTCACAGCGCCTCCTCTTCCCTCAGATGCTGGTGTGTAGCATAAACAGGGCTTTGTTAGGTGGCGGGACTGTGGTTTTGCTGTGTGGAAAATCAAATTGTTAGCGCCATCCTCCACATTTCATTTACATACTGTCACACTGCCTAAAGTAATCTGACATTCTACTGCTTTCCTCTTCAATGCAAAGCCGTGTATCTGGTTCACATTTTAAGGATGTAACCTTCTAAAAAGGTCAAACAGAAAGTTACTAAAACAGTTTACTGCACAATGATAAATTCAAATGGCCAAAGATATTTGTATAATTTTTTCAGTAGCTAGAGAGACAACTGTGAAAAAATATAAAGCAAAAATTTCCAGAAAAATGTGATTCATAAAAAGTAACCCATACAAAAGCATAATTTTAATTTTTTATTCTAATTGTTACGTTTTTAAACATTCTATGTATCCACATCCCTTAGATTTAAAAATTCAGAATGGCAAACTGAATCTGCAGATGTGAAAAGTTAAGATTCTAAGGTTTTTTTCTTAAATTCGTATCAGTAGACTCTACCACAGAAGAATCCAAAATGAACTTGTGGTCCGTTATTTGTTACAAATAACCTCCCCTTAGTGTGAAACAGTTTGATAAAGTTTAGTATTTTCTTGTACTGTTTCCAAGTAATAAACCTTAAATTTTATTATTGCCAAATGAAAGAGCAAATGAATATGAAATTTTTCAAATTAAATGAAAGTATTTACTTGACAAATTAGTTTATTAAGTTTAAGGTTGCACATAAAATTATAATGACAATTCAAATAAGGTAAGCAGAATAAACCATTTATTAAAACACTGTGTGATAAAATAAACTTTTTGACCGAATGCTACACTGGTAAACATTTTCCCTTATTAACATGTTACCTAAAACACAGTTAAATTATATCATCTGGGCCGGGCGCAGTGACCCACACCTGTAATCCCAGCACTTTGGGAGCCAAGGTGGGCAGATCACCTGAGCTCAGGAGTTCGAGACCAGCCTGGTCAACATGGGGAAACCTGTCTCTACTAAAAACACAAAAATTAGCCAGGTGTAGTGGCACATGCCTATAATCCCAGCTACTCGGGAGGCTGAGGCAGGAGAATCGCTTGAACCTGGGAGGCGGAGGTTGCAGTGAGCTGACATCATGCCACTGTACTCCAGCCTAGGTGGCAGAGCAAGACTCCACCTCAAAAAAAAAAAAAAAAATTACATCATCTGACCAGAACTGGAAAATACTTCTGTCCTTTACCACTCAATGATTGAACAGTGAGGTGAGTACAGATCTACGTTTTCTTGCTGAATGACAGAGAATAGTAACTTTAACGGCAATCAAAATTCCATATGCCTAAAAGTTAAATTTTATTTACCCCGTTCACTGGCCCAAACTTAAAATCCTCACATCACATAAAGATTTCATGGACCGCTCCCTTTCCCTGCCAAAAATACATATTAGGAACAAATTAAGAATAAGAGTTGGGTTTTAAACTGCACTTTATTTGTTACTATAACATTCTTTTTTAACTGATCAACCATAAGCATGCAAAAAGTTCTCTGAAACTGCTTCCACTGCCTGTTGTAGAGAAATGGGTAAATTATAAAGGTGATTCAATTTGGAGTTCTTTCCTTTTTTGTAGCACTTCTAAGCTGTGTGCGCGACACACACCACAGAGGTAGAAAGGACCATCTTTAATAAATTATCTTCTTAATCGCAGAGAATTTCTGAAAATAAAACTGACAAAATGCTAAACCAAGGCTTTGATGAGTCCCAAAGGACCATAGATCCATCGGCTCCTATTTGAAGAATTCATCCCCTGGAGCGTTCTAGCCTTTGTAGGGCACTGGATTACAAGATCCACCAGGGCTCTGAACAACCGCACTAAGAAGCCGTCTAACCACTCTCATTTGCCGATTCTTTGGACCACCCAGTCCTGCTGGCAGAGAGGGCAGCGATTGTTCTGTTTCACCCACAGGGACATGCAGCAGTTGTGGAAGGAATGATTACATTCTCCCCAGACCACTGAAAGAAAGAAAAAGAAGAGTTGACATTACATATTTGAATTTAAATACTGAACTCAAAATTACAGCTTATTTTATATTACAAATAATAATCTTGAAAAAAGACAGTTAATTGGCCAAAATAATGTTTTTCTATCTATAAAGAAACAGAAACTTAAATGTGTAAGTTACACAGAGACATAAGTCACTGTTTGAGAGCCTTTCCATCCCCGTTCTAGAATCTATGGGTGATGTGATGACCCCTAGTTCCTACACAGCTCCACATGCTATCTTCTTGAACTTAGGAGATGAAAGGACTTGAACCTTCCTTAGATCTGACCTTCTCAGTTATGCACTGACCTTAGAGACCTTCTGGGCTTTATTTTATGGAAAAATGTCCTTCCAATTTTTATTTACCAAGACAGAATGAGTTGTAAATGTTTTTAGCATGCAGTAGGCTATTATAAATAACATGCTTCTAAATATTCAGTTGTGCATCTACTGAGCTGAGCTGTTTTCTAGAAGTAATGAATTGTTAGGTCATCCACAAGCAGTGCAATTCCTCATGTGACGATGAAATTTTCAAAGGGGCTGGCTGGAGAAAGAGGTCTCTCTGTGATCCAAGAAAGTGGCCTGCCCCTCACAATTCCCAAATTAATACTTTTTAAACAAGCAGCATGGAAGAAAAACTTTAAAACGAGGGAAATCATCCATAATCTAGAATGCAATCTCAAATTTGGTATTCATCTGTCCCTTGCTTGATCAACTGAGCTATATGACAAGAGAAAAAGATTAAATGAAAGAAATAAGGCAGAAAAAAAGAAAAAAAATTCCTATGAAAATTTGCTACAGGGGGTAGGAAGCAAGGGTGAAACATTCTAAGTGTTTCAGGAGGAAGAACTGGATCAAAACTGCAAGAATCAATATTAAGTTCTATGTACATCATGTATTTGTGTTCTATGTACACCATGCAAACACAAAATACAAAGCTGATCTTTTATTCTAAGAAAATCTGTAAACATGTTTATATAGCAATCCAGACTTGATCACCTCAAGAACTAGGGCATAAAAATCTTTGAACTGCCTAAAATATTTAGCCTACGACAACTTTTATAGTCTAAGACTCTAAAGAAAATTTGATACACAAACCACATTCCAAAAACATACTTGAGACTTAGAATTTTTCTACTCTGGTTTTAAAGTTAAATACCGTATTATAAAAGTATTGAAAAGTGAAATGCCTTATTAGAACCAAAAGTGACCTATAACATAGCCAAAATTCAAATACTGTTTTGACATTCTGATTTTCTAATTTTCTAAATAGAAAATATTTAATTTTTGATTACCAAAATGTTTATTATGACCATGTCTGGAATAGATAACCAATTCTTAATTATGGCAATAAAAGGATTTGCAGGTTCACTCCATTAAACTCTTCTGAGAACCAACATATTTTATATTAATAATGGATCACTGCTTTACAGTTTATTTTTGTGTATTGATAAAGTCAATCTTAATTTCAAATTCAAACATCCCTACTGAGAGAAAACCTTCAGTTGAAAAAGCAAGAGAGCGAAATTACAACATACCAACACAGTCCTCTTGTTTGTTTTCAGCTTGACATCTAAGACAGGCATCTAAAAGTAAACAAACAGCAATTCTCATTCTGATGCTCAGAATGCAATTTTTAAAAACCAGACACTTCAAAGTCAAAAGCTCTAAGGGTTAGAGATGGCAGTAAAGACTCATACTATTAATTTCTCATCTGAATATAACTATTTAAAGAGGAATAAAGTACAAGGCATTCTACTAATTTACTTATAACCAGGAGCAATTTCACAACAGTTAACAACAAATCCTCTATTTTTATAAGCTCTGATGAAAAGATGTCCTGACAGTGCCAATAGAGAAAATTACTAGAGAAAAATATGCCACACTCCACTATATTCGAAGTTACTATATGCTTACTGGGCATGCTCATGGGCAGTTTATTTTCAAGACACTCTTTAAATAAACCATATATATATGTTAGCATTTGTTTATACATACATCAAAAAACACTAGGATACCCAAGGAACCAATAATAAAGTTTACTGAGAGGGTGTGGAATGGGAAGGAGAGTTTTCACTCCTCTTCCAGGTAATATACATACCTTCCTCAATTTCTGAACTAAGTGAATATATAACTTATATAAAAATTAAATTGAAAAAATTTGATTCTTTCATAAACAAGTTTTTTAAAGTCATCCATACTTACCGATACATAAGTTTTCCTTCAGCAACTCATAAAAAGCAACTTTTTACTTTCTACCCTAAGACACTTGAGACTTCCTCTAAAATGAACTGCTTTGTATGCTTCTAATAGGTTGCTACTGATGGTCATCCAGACAAGGCTGGTGAGAAGCCAGTGAGACACAGAGGGGAAAGCAAGGGCTGCGGAGCCAGATCTACAGTCAAATCCCATTTCACTGGCATTTACTAGGTTCATGGCCTTGGACCAATTACGAACTCCAATTCCCTCATCTGTAAAAAAGGGACAATACCCTGAGGTATTTATACATTAAGTGGGAATGATATATACTGGTGAGAATTTTATAGATAAAATAAGTAAATACTAGATATCCCTAAGCACTAAGGTTTTTTTCTTTGTAAGAAAATGCTTGGGAGCTAAATGATGAGAACACATGGACACACAGCAGGGAACAACACACACTGGGGCCTTTCGGAGGGTGGAGGGTGGAGAGGATCAGGAAAAATAACTAATGGGTACTAGGCTTAATACCTGGGTGATGAAATAATCTGTACGACAAACCCCTGTGACACAAGTTTACCTATGTAACAAACCTGCACTTATACCCCTGAATCTAAAATAAAAGTTTAAAAAAAAAATACTTCCTTTACAGGTAAGTCTGAGCCCAAAGCATTTACCCAGCAATGGTAAAGTACTTTAATAAATTACTTTATTAGTGGTTTCTTGGGTATCCTTCTAGAATTTCTTGATGTACATATAAACAAATACTAACATTATATGTATGGGTTATTTAAAAGGGTGTCTTGAAAATGAACTGTCCATGAGCATGCCCAGTGAGCTTACAGTAACTTCTAATATAGTGGAGTAGGTGTAAACACTAAAAATGAGATCCTAAAGGCTGTACTAGAAGTTTTCAAAATTCAATCTGGAATACTATCAGCTTAATGAAAAAAGTAATATAGAATATTTTAGGGACCAAAAATGGACTCATTCACTAGCTGGAAGAGGAGTCAGTGTTGGGTAAAAGGAAGTTCAAACCAACAGAAAATAGTTTTTAACATAAATAGGAGAAAAATAATTCTGTAAAAATAGAAACACGGTGGAGTTGAAGCCTGCTTCTCTTCTTACACTGGGTTTTGCTCAGGCATTTGTTTGCTCCTCTCCACATGCTCTTACCCTTAAAAACACACCACCGCCCTAGTCTCTTCAGTGTGGATTAAAAACAACCACTGCCTCCTGAGGTTTTCTTCAATCCCACAATTACTCCTCTGTGCAAGGAGTTATGCACTGGAGACACCAAAATGACCAAGGCTGGGTCTCAAGGGGCTCACCAGCAAATGGGGACGTAGACAGACAACTAAATATCATGAGGGTTGTGATACAACAGTGAAGCCGTGCTACCTGTATCTGGCTCTAGTTCTGTGCAATCACAGAATTTTAACATTAAGGTTGGTGATCCCAACTGCCTCTTTACAAATTAGGAAAATAAGGCTCCCAAAAGTTATGTGAAATATCTAAGGTGATACAGTCATGAAGGGTTACCCTGGCTATTATAACTGGCTGTACTAGCAAACCTATTCGACGCTTTTCATCAGCACTTGCTCACTATGCAATCATCACTCTTTTCTGAATGAAGGGAGGATAGTGGAAACGAAGATGAGAGTGTTATCCATATCAGAATGGGCTGACAGGCAAATCTTGGGAGCAGAAAGTATAATAAATCACAACTGTGAGATAAATTCCAAATACTAAGGAAAGGGAACAAAGTGGGTTCTTGTTGCTGAATCTAGGAATCTCTAAATTATGCTTATAGCTGTAATGTAGATTATCAAAACTGACCCAAATCTACACAAATTCCTAAAGTTTCAGATAAAAGATAAAAATTTGCTTTAATGATCTTCCTAGAATCTAAAACAGCACATTTCTAAGGAGTACAATAACACCTTTTAGAAGGGTGCTAGGGTAAGGACAAGGAAGTCTGGAAAAAAAAATTTCCTTCTGCTGTCACCTGACCTCTAAGTGGGTTTTAACACCTCATAAACAAAATACAAAGGTCTAGCCTAGAATACTTTCCTGAACCCAAAGTACAGCTGTTTGCAAATATGCAAGACTGATCCTGTAGTAGCAGAATACTTGCTATAATTAGAAAGTTTATGATGAAATGTGTCATTTATAGCCTATACTTTGACCTACATTAAAATATCTCAGTAAAGTTTATTTGTTGCAAAGTTTCAATCATTATTTCAGGTTATACATTTTCACTTACTGCTTAAATGTTTTTCCTTCGGGGAGGAAATAGCTTTTTGGGAGAGAAATCTTTTGAAAATACCCTTTGGGAACATTATTTTTAAACTGAAAAGGAACTAAGTGACAGTTTAGTTTCCTTTAAACTAAAGGAAATTTATTTAGGAGATAAAATGTTTAGCAAAACTTGTATTGCAAAAAAAAAAAAAAAAAAAAAAGAAGTCTCTTGGATCAGTTAAAAAATGCTTCCCAAACTGGAAACTATGATTCCTAAGTGAGGGTAGGGGCAGCTGTACTGCTGGCAAATAAACTAGATACTTTTAAAGCCTAATATGTTTTGTTTGTTTGTTTTTGAGACAGGGTCTCATTCTGTCACCCAAGCTAGAGAATCGTGGCAGTGGCAGGAAAAAGGCTCACTGTAGCCTGGACCTCCTGGGCTCAAGGGATCCTCCCACCTCAGCCTCCTGAGTAGCTGGAGGCCACCATGCCTGGTCACTTTTTTTATTTTAATTTTTAATTGTAGAGATAGGGTCTTGCGATGTTGCCTAGGCAGGTCTCAAACTCTTGGGCTCAAGTGATCCATATAAAATAAGTGGGTCATGTCTAATAACAAGGTCTTTCAAAAGTAAAAGGTAAAAATATCTGAATCCAATTGTTGTAAATCCTCTTTGAAACAAGCCCTTAGAATAAAAGACAGAAGAGCATAAATTGAGAAATCTCTTGATTCTGGTAGGTTTAAAGTCTCATCCCCCCTCAAGGACAGCAATTCTCTTTATGTTCTCCAATTCTCTCATTTTTCAAGACAAGTCAGTTTTCAAACTACAGAAATGTCTGTTTTCTTTAACTACCCTCAATAAAGAACTCCACTGAAGATGCTCTCACAGTAATTTTAAATGCCCTATCTGAAAATACAACTTGCATTTAAATAGCACTTGCTTTTCAAAGTGGTCTGAGATCTTAGAACCATATAAAATATAACAAGATTAAGCTGTTCTGAAACATTTTGCTTGGTCTAATATTTTAACTCAAAATATCACAGAAAGAGGACATATTTGTAAGAGGGTTCTCCACAAAGGCATGACTCAGAGCAGGGCAGTATCTTCTCCAGGAAATGACATCCGATATGGAGAGGGGGGTGTAATGGAGGTGAAGTTCTACATTTCTGAAAAAAGGGCTTACAATTCTTCGGCTTCCATGAAACTTAGATATTCTTGAACCACACTGTCCCCTTCAAGCCACGCTAGTGCTATCGGACCCGTCTTAGATCAATCCAGATTTAAAAGCCATTCGAAGAGCGGCGGTAAGCTAATCCGGAAATGCAATGGCTGTGAACACTTTCCTGTGTACCTCGAGGAGAACTAAGGGTGTCGTTTTGTGGAAGATGACTCAAGAGCATCACTTTGATGGTGACCAAGACTATTAAAGTTCACTGCTGAATCACGGCCTTTACTCTGTCCACCTTGCGATGAGCTTTTAGAACAGGGGCTGGCCACACAAACCGAAGTGTTTCCTGCTAGTTCCCAACAATCACCCGGTTTTATTTTCCTGGTCACACCCATCACTACCTGAAATTACCTTGTTTACCTCCGTTTATTGCCCATTTCTCTCCCTAGAACACCAACCACCCGGCGCCGGGCGCCTGTTGCACAACCCCTCAGCCCTCAGGAGCCGCAACAGGATCGTGGCTCCGCGTTCCTCCGGCGCCCGTGCAGGGCGACCTCCACCCACTCCCCAAGGCAGGGGACTTTCCAAGGCTTCTGGCGGGCGCCCGTTCCGTCCCAATCCCGAAGTCGGCTCCCGGAGGCCGCAGCGCGGCCCCGGCCTTGCGTGCAGCGCTTACCCATCACCTGGACCCTGCAGATGGCGCACGTATCGCACTCAACGTCCCAGCTCCACATGGCCACCGCGTTCCACTTCTTGAGGGAGAACATCTTGTCGCCTCCCGACTTGGAGCCTGAGCTCCCGGAGTGAGACGCCAGGGCGCAGGTTTCCTCTCCGTCTTCCACGTCGGCCATGGCGGCGCCGCGGAGCCGACGGCGGAGACGTTGGCTTGGGGTAGGCGGGAGGCTAGGGCGGCTCTGCCGGGCCGCCCGACGGGCCACAGCGCCGCCCGCAGGCCGCAGGCCACCGTGGTGCCTAGACCCCGGCCACCCACGATTGGCTGGCGCGGCCCAGTGACGTCACCGGACGCCAGCGGCGGGGGGGCAGGCAGGCCCCGCCCCCGCCCTCCTGGGGCGACCGAGCGGGCTTGGGGCTTCTCGGGGCTACGTTGCCGAATCCGCCTGCCGCCCTGCGGGGTGTTACGTCTGAGCAGGCGCACAGATTGTGCTGGAATGTGTGTCCTGCTTTATGACTTCATTAAAACTACTGCTCTCAGAAATAATCTTGTTAATTTATTTGTCTCTTCCCTCCCAAGTGTAAAACTCTATCAGAGCAGGGAACATGTTCTTATCACCACATTGTCCTCGGTATCTACAAAATGCCTGGCCACAAGAGGCACAATTATTTCTTGAGTGAATTAATGATCTTAAAGATCTAGAAATCTGGTTCAGTGATTCTCAGACTTTTTGGTCTCAGGACTCCTTTTCACTTAAAAATTATTAGTCCCTTAAAGAGCTTTTATTTATGTAGGAAATGTATAAATATATATATACACACACACATATGTATGAATATATATACATATATACAATGAATATATGTACATTCATGTATAATGAATATTCATACATTTCCTGTATATGTATACACACGTACATAGAGATTAATGTTTCTTTTTAAGAAATTAAAACATTTTTAAATGTATTCATTAAAAATCACAGTAATAACCTCATTAGAGGTTATCATTAGAGAGATAACTTCACATACCATGTAATTTCTAGAAACTCCCGTGTACACTCGTAGAATGAGAGTGAAAAGAGAGAAATAGCTCTAAATATTGTTAGGCAACTAGTTTGCCCTCTTTTGACCCCTAAAAGAGGTCAGGATCCCAGGAGTCCCGGTGTGTGGCGACACAACCCACACGTATTTTTCAGGCCCTGCTTCCTCATCTGCACAGTCTCCATTCCTTCTGCTCAGTACATTTGAGCTAGTTTAACTTCCTCTTTTTATATGTAGGACTAATGAGGTCCGAAGAAGTGAAATGACAAAGATCACATTGTTATTACAGTAGTGCTTCTACTGCTAGCCCACCATCACATGTGTTTCCAAGAAAGCAGGCATCTCCATTGAAAAGAAAGCAGAAGCACAGACAGCCTAAGGAGATGCCTGATCCCACCGTCACCTAGTGGTGGACACCTACTCTGTCAAGTTTGGATTCTGAGCCTCTCGCCATCCCCTCATCTCCTGATACCTGGGCAAAAGGTAACCAGGCCAATGGAGCCTGGCAGGGGAAACAAGAATGCATTAATCTATAGAAACATAAATATGGACGCAGGGTCACATTTGGTTAGATGGAAATGTGTATTTGTTGAGTGGTGTGTTAAGGGCTGTGAGGGTACAGGATGCAGTGAGGGAAAGCCTCATGGGAGAGGTGAAGTTTGAACTGGGGGAACATGGGAGGCCTTCAGGGCCTTCAGGGCCAGTGGAGAGAGCAAATCTCTCTGAGCTGTTGGGCAGAGCAGAGCACAATGGTGGTGGCAGACAGGAACTGGACCACACCAACTTTATAAGCCAGACACCCATTGGAGTGAGCACACAAAACATGTGTTCCCTTCTTACTGAACGACCACACATCTGCCTAGAGATGGCTGTAAATGCTAGGTATCTAACAAAGAGAAGGATAAAACGCACCCAGTTGGTGAGAAGTTTGAAAGACAAAAGGATGAAACAGTGAAAAGGGAGAAGGATGGCTTGGCTGAAGGAATGGTATGTGTCCTTGCTGAGCCATGAAATCTGGAGAGAGGTGTCGACTGCGGTGAAATTTGAGAATAGAAGCCAGGCGGGAGCATAGGGGCGGGAAGTGGAAGGCGGACTGGGGAGATGAGTATGGTTTTGACACACTGCATGTCAGGAGAACTTTTTCTCCTGACAAAGAGAACAGGAATGAGTGATGCACCGGAGTTCAGTGCAACAAGCAAGCATGCATGGGGAGAAGGGAAAGCAGGAGTGAGGTGGAAAGTTCAGGCTGCAGCAGCTGTTCAGGCGTAGCGGGGCCAACGGGTCTCCTGTGATTTCCCTCCTTTGGTTCACCTTCATGAGAGCTTGTCTGCCATCATGAGCACCCAAAGGGCAGGAACTATAGGCGGCCTTGAATGCAGCAAAACAAATATCTGTCCTCCTCATGGCCTGCTCAGTTGCCACTCCACCACTGTGCGTTGTTCCTCTCACCAGTCCTTGGTGTGTGGGGACACAACCCACACTTATTTTTCAGGCCCCGCTTCCTCAGCTGCACAGTCTCCATTCCTTCTGCTCAGTACATTGAAGACGTAGTTTCTTTAATTTTGAGGACTTCTCTTAAGCAAAATATTTAAGGACTAACTGACAAATATTTAGGAAAAGTTTGTCTCAGTACAAGTGGACATTTTTGTTATTTCTTTGGTCCTCACTCCAACCATCATTTCCCCCTTCTGTGCCATTCATCTTTAACAAAATAAGTTTTCCTGTTGTCAGGGAAGTAAAACTTTCCCTCTACCCTCTTAGGTTCAGTATTTGGGGGGATTGCAAATTAAACCAACAAAATACAGATTAGCAGGAGAAAAGATAGATTTTTATTCACCGAAGTAGTCAGAGTTCACAGAAAGTTATGACTCAAGGGGCAATTAGAATTTGGGGCTTATACACTGTCTAAATAAAGGAAAGGGAGAAGGAGAAAGGGCACTTCTGGAAAATAACTTTCAGAAAAGATAAACAGGCCTTTGGGAGAATAGATAGGAGATATGATAGTTTTGTGACAAAGTCTATTAGCTGATTTATTATCCCAGTACCAACTTCTTGTTTCTAATGATAGGGTCAACCTTCCCTGGTTTTAAAATTCCTGGGAAGGAATTTAAGACAGTTGAATTCTTTTGAGAGGCATTGCTTTTAGACAGGTAAGTTCAGGGAAAAAATTAAAATAAAATAAAACAACTCTTCCTGCATCTGTCGATTCTCAAATGCCTTTCGCTCAAAATAATCCTTATGCTATAGAGGCATATTCTGGACTTCTTTCCTGCACTAGGGAAAGAAATAAAAACAAAAATAAACCTGATGACATTTGCTTGCTGAGCTGGAGTAGTTTCCCCAAAGGGACCAATGTTTGGAACTATAATGACAAAGCAAGAAAATTGTTCCTAGAGGCTAGAGATCAAAGCTAGCCTGAAATGTATATGCTACCTCCTCCTGGGAATGTCCTTCTAAGCAAGTCTGCTCTCCATCACACTTGTCAGACAAGAGTTATGGCTCATCTTTTTTCTTGGAAATAATTGTGTTCATGTCCATAGGTCCCTGAGCATTTGCTGGTCTTTTTTGGTCAGATGGAACCCTCCAGTTCATTTGCCTCTCTTGGTCTTAGATGACGGTGCTGTGGCCATAAATTATTAATCCTGCTGCCCCACTCCCCCAACACACACACACACGTGCACACACACCCCATACTGAAAGCGTACATTTGACCAAAGCAATCAGCCTTTGTTGGAGAATTCCTTAAATCCTCCCAACATTATATTTCATTCATTGTAGGACATCAATCATCAACTGTGTGACGTAAATCAATTTCAGATGTGAAAAAAGAAGTGACGTAGAATATTTCAGAATAGATAAAAAATGAAAGAGAGAAACCCATGCCTAAATTTCATGATGCCTTCTTTAGAAACCTGGTGACTTTGCTGAGAAAGTAGAGTTTTGGGGATCGATTTTAATCCATTTGTCTAAAATTGCTCCACATTGAATCTTCTGAAGCTGCAGGTGTGGATGAGTATAGCACTGTGTGTATGCTTTTACCTCTTTTTTGAAATCTGCTGAGTTTTTCTATTAGATATTGGTGACATCTGCTTGAATGACTCATTGTTGCTTCATACTCGACAGGTGAAAGGGAGTTCATTTCCTTTCTTGCAAAATTTAGCTTTCTTTCAACAGTTTGCTTTCTTTGCCTGAGATGTAATTCTCTCCTAGGTATAACTGTCCTGGTCTGAAACCACAGTCACTGTTGACTCTTTCCCCTTCCTCACCCTTCATACGTAATTATCTGTTCATTCTTTCTTTAGAAGTTTCTAGAATCAACCAAACTTTCCACTCCCATTGTGGAATCCTAACCTCATCACCCTGCTTCTGGATTACGGTGTCCTGACTTCTTCCCTGCCTTTCCTCCCCAGTCTAAATCCCACTCAATCTAACATGCCTGGTTAATTTTCCTTCCTCTGACATTCTCCTGCTCAAAATGTTCCAAAGCTCCACATTATCATCAGAACGAAATCTAAATGTCCTGATTGTTCATTTAAGCCCTGCCACAACACGGCCCCGACCTACCTGTCAAGGCCATCCCCGGCACCCCTCTGCAGGATCCTCGTGAGACTGGTCTGCACAGACATCCAAGTGTACCATGGACTGGCTTTTCCTCAAAATCGGACAGAACTTCCCCTGCCTTCTTCAGCAGGATTGCCCTCTGTGCTTAGAAAAAATGTACTCATCTTTGTGTTCTCGCTGGCCACTCTTTGCCACCACATATTCATGTCCTCCCAGGAAATCACAGGATTTACTGCGCTTCTTCTGCACTTTTGGCACCAGGTCACACAGCAAGCAAAGAGTGCTGTTACTGATGTTTAACAAGCTCATCATAATTTATTGAACAATTTTAAGTTTTTAAAAATTGACAGCTCACAAATGATAAAAACAGTAAAGCAGGAGTACATTAAAAACCCAAGTACTATTAATAGACTTTCCAGAAATTCCTGTATATGTACAAGCAGACACACGATGCATCAATTTTTAAAAAAATTTTAAATTGTGGTAAAATATGCAAAATATTTACTATCTTAACCATTTTTAAGTGTACAGTTCAGCAGTGTTTAGTATGTTCACAGTGTTGTGCAAACAATCTTCAAAACTTTTTCATCTTGCAAAACTGAAACTCTGTACCTATTAAACAATAACTCCCTCCTCATACATCATCTCAACCACCATTCTACTTTCCGTCTCTGATTTTGACTACTGTAAGTATCTAAGTGGAGGCATACATACAGTATTTGTATTTTTGTGACTGACTTATTCACTTAGCATAATATCCTTAAAGGTTTATCCATGTTGTAGCATGTGTCAGAATTTCCTTCGTTTTTAAGGCCGAGCAATATCCCATTTTATGTATATATCACATTTAATTTATCCAGTCATCTCTCCATGGACATTTGGGCTACTTCCACCTTTGATTTATTGTAAATGATGCTGTTTTGAACATGGTGTTCAAATATCTCTTAATGACGCTACATTCAGTTCTTTTAGATACATACAAACATGTGAAATTGCTGGATTATACTACGTCAATTCATTTTTGTATGAATTTTTCACATATTCTATACCTGTTTTTAAAAATGGTGTTACTTGAATGCCTTTCCATATAAGCACTTACGTATCCACATTATTCTTTCAATGATTGCATAGTATTCTACCACATACATTTACTGTGATTTATTCTCCCGAAACTCTTTGAGAAAAATTTAGTTATTTCCCATGTAAAATAAAGAGTGCTGCAGTGAACATCCTCATATGTATTTCCTTGCACACATGTGACAGTAAACAAATTTCTAAAAGCAGAATGGCCGGGTCGAAAGCTATGTATTTTTCATTTTAATAAACACTGCCAAAAGACCCGCTAAAGGGGTATACTGATTTTACACTCCCACCCAGTGGATATGTGTGGCAAATTTCAAAAAAGGTCTTTTTAAATTTTCTTTTCTTTTCTTTTTCTTTTCTTT